AGTATTCCAGGTTATCAAGGGTTTGATTTATAAAGGATTCCAGATTATCAGGTTCGATTTAGACAGGATTCCAGATTACCAAAGGTTCGATTTAAACAGTATTCCAGATTACCAAATGTTCAATTTAGACAGGATTCCAGATTATCAAGGGTTTGATTTAGACAGTATTCCAGATTATAAAAGGTTTGATGTAGACAGGTTTTACTTTGTGATGTAATTATTATGTATTATATGCTTTAAGCTATATTGCCAGTACTGGTGTATCAAACAGATCGTTCTAGTAAAAATTCTCTGAGGTATATTTCAACTATGTTACAAATTTGTATTAAATCATTTCAATCAAATTTTAATGAAAGTATGAGCAGATGGTGAGATGTATTTTCTTGCCATATTGGATTATTTTCATTATTAACACCTGTTCTAGATTGAATTCATTAAATTTATGAGTATCAAAGATTGGGGAAATTGGGTGGAATGTCCTCCGAGGTGTGTTTTGGTCATCAGACCGAGGATCTCCAGGCGTAATTGACGACAGGTGCTTGATGGAGGAGTGCAGTGTGATGACCTTAATGAGCACCATACAGGTGCTATCAAGTAGAACATTAATTAGTTTAATCAAATCAGCACAGTGTTGCACATCTTAATTAACCCAATTAAGCTCGATTGAGTCACTTGTCTTATGAGGTAGCCATGCAGGAATTCTGACAAATACATCAACTTGGTGTGTGCGGGGCTGGTGAATGGGTACGATTTCCATGCTAGGGTTTGTAACCTATTACACAGGTGGTAAAGATGAAGATGAAATTTCCTGCCAATTTGATAAAAATAGAAACAGTCAAGTGATGTTACAGTCGCCAATTTTGATACAAAAATATGCATAACTTTTAACAAATCTTTTTTTCTTGTGAATATATTATTGCAGAATTTCTTTGTTGGGGTTCATTTTGTTACACTTATTTATTAGATTCTTAATAGTACCCAGCCCAATTTTATAGTTAGGTGATGATTAAACAGCATAAAGTATTAACTTAGTCTAGATCTGTATTCTGAAAAGTTGAACACATGGTAAACCAGGACAGGAATTGTAAAGCTGTCCGACACATGTCAACAATAGCAGGATGAAATGACCAATCAAATTTCTGTAGGGTGTAAGGTATTCCACGTTGTCTGACACACAAAGTCACGTTAGGGTGAGTTGTCCACTTTTATGATTAGTTTTATGTTGCCGTGTCTGGGAGAATCTCGAAAACTAGCAGATGCCTGTTGTAAGGACCTTGTCAAGCTTCTGGGGTTTATAGCCTTGTTTTTGTCACTTAGGGGAGCTTGACACAAATGGACTAGACAGTTGAAATCATATCTCTTCACAGGACGTGCCAACATCCTGGTTCTGAACCCATTCACCCCTAAAGTTACATTTGAATCTTACCAAATCAAAGACTGGGGAAGTCCAGTTTACATATGTAGGGGTGAATAAGTTAAACCCGTACAGGGCATATCTGGTCTGGGGAGAAATCCCATGCAAAAATTCTTCGATAAGGAGAGGGATTCCACAATTATTTTTTTGTTTGTTGCTAATTTAACTTTACTTATAAAATATGTTTATAAGGTTAATTTTAATCGAGGATATTTTAAATATATTGCTCCTAATTGTACTTAGTAATCAGATGGAACTATCTTTTTAACATAAGTAGATTCACCATAGATCACATGAATTGTAATCTTTCAATTAAGTAAAATTTAAAAGAAATATGATTGTTTGTGTCACTAAACTTGCTACAGATTCTGTTGAGCAGATCTTGTTGTGAAAGACAGTATTTACTTCTCTCGTTAACAATCAGGTGGAATATTTTTCAAACATTTCTGCAATACATTATGGTGTTACTCATCTGACATGACAGCAATTTAATGTTTTCAGTCAAGATGATGAATAAATTATAGCTTTAACTCATTCACTCCTGAAATTTCTCAATGAACTATTCCAACCTTTGAATTGGAAGAGTTCAAATATGTCTTCAGGGGTGAAAGAATTAAACAATTACCACACTTACAGATATAACTGTATCAAGGCAGGGTTAACACTGTAAGGGCTCAAGGTCAAAGGTTAGCGAGTGTGGAGGCTTTTGTCCGCAGGGATAGGGGTCATAGGGTGAGTTATACTGCCTTATAGGGGACTTGCATTCTAATCATGATAATGATAGGTTATTGGCTCTCAGGGAAAGTACTTAATGTGTCCTCGACCCCTTTTGGCCCTTTATGACTTAATTCTTTATCCCGTTTAGCACCTTGTCAGCCGTTGATAGCCTTTTCTGCCTTTTCTTTGATTGGGTTGAGCTGAACTTTTGTGAATTAATGAAAAAAAAGGCAGCACTGATTAGCAATTTTAAGTTAGTATGACTTCTTGAAAAGACTGTTATGTTTAATAGGATGGTGACAGAAAATAAGAATGTTACATTTATTTTTTCAAGTTTTAAAATTCAACTAAAACAATTGAGAGTAGAGATTAGATTTTTTATGAATAAATAAAAAAAAATGTGAAAATACTCAAATGTATTCATGCACGTGGTATTTGAAAAGAGTATATGGTGAAAATTGAGCTGAAGCTTTAGAAAGCTAACAGATCGTTGAGCATGTGTGCCCTATTAATTGATAATCTGTATCCTGCTGAGTTAAAGTCTGATCAGAGGGTGAGGGGTATAATGAGGTAGCCTTGCTGATGTCACTCAAAAGGCTTTCTGCTTGTTCTTAAGTGTCAAACACATAGCTGACTCGGAATATTTCCTACTTCTGACAAGCATTCAAGTGACTTTATTAGGACAATTATAGGGAGATAACAAGACATTTTCTAAGACATTTTCTAACAAATCTTAACCCTAGGTATTTATCAATCAATCAGGTGACTTAGAAGATGTAGGATTGAACGTGGTCAGTTAATCATAATCAACAAAATGTATTAATGTGTGTCTACCGTCCAAATCTGTCAGATTATTGAATTTACTTATACTTTTAAACACATAATAACTCAATTCGGCAAATGTTGAAACACTTGAGTGGCGATAAGGAAATTGTTTCTTTATTTAGGGAAAACAAATCTTTAAGTAACATGTATAAAATGTTCCCTTTGCATTTTAAAATGGAATGAATCCCGTGAAATTCTGTTACATAAACTCTTGTTTCCCTCAACAAAGTCTGTGTCTCAGATACCACATGCATCCTTGGGTGTACCATACATCTGCTGTAGATATTTTGTTTGCAAAAACTAAATGTAATAGGAATGGAAAAAACATATAGCAGGCTTGAACTGAATTCAAACCTAGGAGTCTCCCAACTCAAGGGGACTTTATAGGCCCAACTGACAGTTTCCTGTCTCCAACAGTTCACCCACTACTAGGTCTACAGTATACTGTTCAGACCTCAAACCAACAGTTAACCCACTACTAGGTCTAGAGTATGCTGTTCAGACCTCAGACCATGATAACCTTACCAACTGTTAGGCCTTAGTCTTAAGTCGCCTCTGGACCACAGACCAACAGTTCACCCACTACTATGTCTACAGTATACTGTTCAGACCTCAGACCATGATAACCTGACCAACTGTTAGACCTAGTCTTAAGTCGTCTCTGGACCACAGACCAACAGTTCACCCACTGCTAGGCCTTCAGTATGCTGTTCAGACCTCAGACCATGATGACTGACCAACTGTTAGGCCTAGTCTTAAGTCGTCTCTGGACCACAGACCAACAGTAAACCCACTACTAGGCCTTCAGTATGCTGTTTAGACCTCAGACCATAATAACCTGACCACCTGTTAGACCTAGTCTTAAGTCGTCTCTGAACCACAGACCAGCAGTTAACCCACTACTAGGCCTTCAGTATGCTGTTCAGACCTCAGACCATGATAACCTGACCAACTGTTAGACCTAGTCTTAAGTCGACTCTGGACAACAGACCAACAGTAAACCCACTACTTAAGGTCTACAGTATACTGTTCAGACCTCAGACCATGATAACCTGACCACCTGTTAGACCTAGTCTTAAGTCGTCTCTGGACCACATACCAACAGTTAACCCACTACTAGGCCTTCAGTATGCTGTTCAGACCTCAGACCATGATGACCTGACCAACTGTTAGGCCTAGTCTTTAGTCGTCTCTGGACCACATACCAACAGTTAACCCACTACTAGGCCTTCAGTATGCTGTTCAGACCTAGACCATGATAACCTAACCAACTGTTAGGCCTAGTCTTAAGTCGTCCCTGGACCACAGACCAACAGTTAACCCACTACTAGGCCTTCAGTATGCTGTTCAGGCCTCAGACCATGATGACCTGACCAACTGTTAGGCCTAGTCTTTAGTCGTCTCTGGACCACAGACCAACAGTTAACCCACTACTAGGCCTTTAGTATTCTGTTCAGGCCTCAGACCATGATAACCTTACCAACTGTTAGACCTAGTCTTAAGTCCTCTCTGGACCACAGACCAACAGTTCACCCACTGGTAGATCTACAGTATATTTTATTTATCATTCCTGTTGAACTATGCCAAATCTCAAGATTTAAAACAATTTTACAACCTCTTTTAAAACTCAGATGTGAGTAAAGAAACCAAACTTCTAAGTAACACTGTTCTATCCAGTATGTAAATCTGTGGCTTCAGGACGGGCCCGTAATGTGGAAGTGGTTTATGTGCGGTTAAAACAGTAGTTATATATTATCAATGCAAGGACAAATTGGTGATTATGTTCCCTTCCGAAAGGGAATGTGTACTGGGGCCTTAAATTGTATAAAATTATATAAAATTGGCTGTTGTGTGTTTGTAATATGGTAAATGTGCCTGAGGGTGTGTGTTATCCTGATGAAGGGCTGTAAGGCTGGTACTTACCAACACATGTGTTTACTCCTGATGTACGGAGCATTGTAGTGTGAAAAATCTACAGGGGAGTTTTCTAGAGTCGCTCCAGGCTCCCACTCATATCACCTCTTCCGCTTTTTTCCTTTTCCACAATTTCATTTCTGTGTGCGAGATGTGTAAGATGTATGTTGATCAACACCTACAGATAAACCAGCGAAGTTTACTGTTAAATTTTCGTTCTGTGACATCTTAACTTGTGAAAATATGAAGTGTACTCATTTTCAATTATTAGCCTTTTCCGGCAAAGCTGTTGAGATTAAAAGCTGATACACAAAACAAGAGTTTTTCAGTGTTAAAACCCTAGAAAATTTGATGAGATTTTGGATGGTAAACAGCTAGCAGGGAGTAAAATGACACAATAAACTGACAGATCGTGAGATCACGTGATGGATCATCGCCTAAACAGTTCATCGTTAGTCATGAAAGTAACAATTGTTTGCACCCAGGAGGAATGCTCACATCAAACGGCAGAATTTTATGGCAAAAATGCTGATGTCAAACCGAACAATTTTACAGCAACTTCGTCTTGAAATTTGAGTTAGTGAACTGTTCATTTCGACTATTGTTTTAACTTACGGGGGAAAGACTGCAATGTTTTAACAAGTCTTCAGGACAGGATGACAAATCCTTACTAGGAAGTGCAATATCTCTGACGTTTCAACTTTCAGATTGAAAACAAATCATTTCAGTTCATTTCTAAAGCAACAAAAAATCATTTTTTTCGATATATTGAGAACTTGAATTTTGTGTTAAGACCGAGATATCATATAACACTGTTATAATCACTCAAAATAGAAGGATAAAGTCTTGTGTAAGAAATAGTTAAAAGTATAAAGTGGACTTTTCTCCATTGGAGTTATCTGTAGCCATGCCGTCATCCACCAAATGTGAATTTGTCTGGAAACGAAAGCTCAGCTGGAGGTAAATGAATTTGTTTGATCAATATTTTGGAAATTGCTTTTTGTGTTGTTGTGATGTAACGTTAGTTGTCTTTTTGAGGAAATTATTTGTATTTTTTGTTAAAAAGATAATTAATTTGCATCAATCTGGCAAGTAAGAGGGTCCCATTGGGAGAATATTTGCCTTTTTTTCACAAACTTTGTTGAAATATAATTTCTGAAACAATTGAGAAAGTTACCTCCCTTGAAGTGTTAATCTCCTTATTACTTACAGATTTTTTTTTCTTTCTACTTTCCTGAAAAACTAAATAAATTAATTGTGTTTCTGTGTATTTTACCATGAATCATGCACTTTTCAGGGAGAAATGAAGATTTGTAATGTATCATAAAAAATGATTAAATGTTTTGTGATATAAATTACATTTTAATCTGAGCATTATCTGGATCAGTCGACAGTAGGTCAAAATGAGGTTTTCCTGTATCATCAATTTAACTGATAACCAGACATATCGACAACAAATTACAAAATTTGTGACTTCAGTGAACAGATGAGCATGTCAGAAGTGTACCGTGTAATATCATCTGACATAATAGGTAAGCTAGGCAGATCATCTACTGGTGAAATTAGTCACTCCAGTTTACCCGAGGACACCTGTTGGTCTAAATAGCTGGTATGGCTTATACCTACACAATGTGGTGTCACAACATATATATATAGGAGTACTGCACATGGCATGCTTGCCAACTCCTCCTATTTTGGAGGGAGCCTCCTAAATTTGGACCCTAAAATTGGGCATTTTAACCCTTCCACCCCTAGGTAACTTTAGTAAACATTTATGGGGATGAGTCCATTATGGTTTACGGTGGCGAAAGGGTTAACCAGTGAAAAGCTAAACTATTCCTGTTTTCTGATATCTAATGATTTCATCTGAAACTCACTGAACAGCTAAAAAGATGTTTTTTAAGTAGTTTTAATAATTTTAACCATAGCCCTTACCCATAACGTAATGTATAACCATAACATGTACCCATAGCATAGTTCTAACCATAGCCCATACCCATAATGTATTGTATAACCATAACATGTACCCATAGCATAGTTCTAACCATAGCCCATATCCATAATGTAATGTATAACCATAACATGTACCCATAGCATAGTTCTAACCATAGCCCATACCCATAACGTAATGTATAACCATAACATGTACCCATAGCATAGTTCTAACCATAGCCCATACCCATAGCATTAACCATAGCCCATACCCATAATGTAATGTATAACCATAACATCTACCCATAGTATAGTTCTAACCATAGCCCATACCCATAACGTAATGTATAACCATAACATGTACCCATAACATAGTTCTAACCATAGCCCATACCTATAACGTAATGTATAACCATAACATGTACCCATAGCACTCAAATTTGTTGGAGATATCTTCTTTATTAAGCAACCATCTCTCTTTAGAGACAATTAACTGTTTACTCAATTTCTACCAAGCAGTTAACAGTATTAACTCGTTCATCCCTGAAGACACATTTGAACTCCTCAAATTCAGAGGTTGGAATAGTTCATTATGAATTTTCAGGGGTGAATGGGTTAACATTCTAGACCAGTTTTGAGCTTCCCTAATTGGGTGGTCTCTTAATACAAGTTTGGCAGTACTTATATCTTAGAGGTATTTCATAGATGGAGCAATATATGTTAATCTTGGCCAATTTTACCTGAAGGTATCAGATAACAGACATATCAATCACAGATCAAAACTGATGGCACCAGTGAAATTCCCGTTACCTAGATTTGATGTGTATGTTCCCATGTTAGAGAAAAATTAACCACTCAGTATGACCAACACTGACCATCAGGTGTCATATGGCGGTCAATTCAGTCAGTCCAGTGAATTTCTACTGATCACCCGGGGGACATGTATACATGAGCCCATGTGTTGCCAGTGAAATCTGTCATTTTAATAGTTATTATGATATGCTACAAACATGGTTGGCCTGATGTGTATTTACAGACGGGAAATTAATATATTTTTGAAAGTGTGTTTGGACTTCCATGTAGCTCATACAACAACAGTTTATGTTCAACATTGGATGATTGTGGAAATGTGAAATATCTATTTTTCCTGAATCAGCTGAAGGTGATGAGTGGTGTTTCGTTATGTGTGAATGTATTACCTGTTGTGTTGTATGACAATTTTGTACATCCAAAAATTGTGGACCACTGATTTATGACATTGTGATTTTGGGAGTCAAAATGTTCTGGAGGGAATTATCACAAAATATGAAGAGGTCCATCCTTAATCAAAGGTAAAAAATCATAAAAAATCAATAAACATCTATATATCTTTCCTTATCTGAACTTCCAAAGCTCACGGCAACCATCTGGACCCGTTGGATTGGCTTTTATCAATCATGTCGTCATTTACTTTGTGATTTTGCTGGCCAGAATCGGTCAAAGTTGTTAATTTTATTCAATGCACATGTGACGTTGATACCTTATGGAGACATTTTATCTTTATGGCGTGTGTGTGGTATTATTTTCGAACATAACCAAAAAAAAATTTAAAAAAATAATTTTCTTGTGTCAAAATTAGGACCTTTGAGAAATGTGTTCATTTGTATGATTTTGATTGGCTATTTAAGGAATACTACGAGTATCCATGGAAACCTTGGGTGATTATATAAAGGCTCTTGTTGACGTGATAAAATGTCATTGATGTGACAATCAAGGATTAAGTAACGGCACAGCGGAAGACTTTAGTTTGATGCGTAACTAAATGGTATTTCTGTGTCCTCGAAAGGAGAATAAAAACAGCAAAGTGGAGAAAATTGACATTGGATGAAAAACGAATGAGTCTCCTGATCAGTAATTTTCAGTACATGAGCACTTCCTTTTAGTTATTGCATAAGATTATTGCCACGGTTTACTCCTCCCAGCCTCAGTCTCACAGAAATGACTTCTTGCTTCAGTTAAGATTTAAACGATGATTTCCATAAGGGGTCATTTAAGTTAAAGAAGAACGTCTTTAGTTTGTAAGATGCTCCTTGAATCTGAAGCCTGGGCGTAAATGTGTGTTTCTGTGTTTGGGGATGAGTTATTCCCCTTAGATACACTCAATTGAAACAAAATTATCATATAGTAGTTCTCATTTGTTGCAAGCTTGCATTGCATTTGTTTGGGAAAAGATCCATGATTTCTCTCTGATTTATGTCATATAAAATGTGAATTTACGGACAGTTTGTTCAAAATTGTGTTATCGGTATGATAGGAGTTATTCTCCTTAGATTTGTACTATTGACAACATTGAAATAAACAGTCATTCGTTCCTAAAACCTTCTGTCATTTCATTGTAAATGTGTGAATCATTCTCACCAAAAACAAGATTGTCCATAATGTACCACACACATGCATTTGAGAGTATGTAATATTAGTCATGTATGTGTTAGTGCTATGTGAGCGACTCATTTTCTTCACCTTTTCTGAAAGCATCGTAAAAAAAACATACGTAGATTCTATAACTTAAATAGTTTGATAAATAAAGTACATGAAATAATCACAAAATCGCAATGTAATATGAAAATTTTTCATTTATGTCTGAAAGGATGAAACTAATATTCTAATTTATTTCCAGTAGATTGCCTAAAGCTGACAATACTTTAACCATGACAATATATTTTAGATATTAATCATGGCAGCTACTTTGATCCTGAAAATAATTTGAGAATTTTCATTTGTTTGCTTAATTCCCTATCTGCTCGTGAAATAATTACAATAACAACATAGTTGAAGGGGATTGAATACATTGATTCTTATTTTAATCAAAATTTTGTCAAAACAATTTTAAAAAAAAACACCAGCAGATGTCTGACAATAATTATTACTTTGTTTTTATATTAAAATCAATATGTAGTTTTTTAAACACCGGTATGAGGGAATTACGTTGACTGGTTTAGATAAATTGTATTTAGTTTACAGGGGTGAGTGTTTGATTGATTTAGATCAATTGTATTTAGTTTACAGGGGTAAGTGTTATGGATTGGGGTCATTGTTGGCAGGTTGTTGGTCGCTTGATAAAGGGGCATGTCATATTTAAATGTTTTTTTTTTTATAGGAATCATAAGTGAGTTAGTGACAGCATTATTGGTGGGATTGTATGGGTGCTGTTTGTAGTAAATATGTTAATTTTTGAAAAAAAAAGGAGTCAATTTCAGGCGTCACTAGCACAATGTTGGGGGTCTTTGGCGAACTTGTTAGCAAGCTGTTCAGGATTGTTGGTGGGTTACCTTACTGGGTGCAGTAGTTGTGTTGGTGGGATGAAAGTATATACCCCCACCTGCCCACCTGAGGAAAAAAAAGGGAAAGAGGATCTATAAAATTACGGTTCAGGTTCCCTGGAGGGGCGGATACACTCCAGATGTCTGTTAGTCTGTTATCAATCAACACATAAGCTAGTCCGTATGACATGAGTTTTATACATTTTTGTGGGTTTGAAATGTGTCTGATAATCAGAACCTGTTCCAGCTCATTTGAAGCTCAATAGACCCCATGGCATTTGTTTATTTGATGATGGGCTTATAGCTCCCACTTGCCTTGCCCTACCTAAGGCACAGGGTCGTCCCCCTATGTAATAGAATGTAAGTGTCTTTTTGATGCCAAGGTTAGCCTGTGGTATTTACGTCTCAGCCTACATGTGCATGTGCTTTTCATTTTTGAACTTTTTCACTTGTAAACAAATGGTCTGTAATTTGAGTTTTACCATGAGCTACACACTGTACTTAATAAACCAGAAATTACAGTCTTAAAGGGCAATAACTCTTTTGTACTATTTATCCAAAATTGTCTGTTTGATATTAAAATATTTTAAAGCCATTGCTTTTATCATGGTTCTGCTGTTAGCTATAACACATGATGAGAAGACTTGGCATTCATGGTCTTATGAAAGAGATTGACATGTGTAATCTCACACTGTTTGGCTCGAATACATTACAATGAGTGTCGACTTA